AAAACATGACTGTCATAGAATATTAAATACGGTATTTGGGCACTGCTCATGCAGATCCTGCAATGCCTGGTTATCCAAATGGTATATGATACACTGCTCAAAAAAATAAAGGAAACACTTAAACAACACAATGTAACTCCAAGTCAATCACACTTCTGTGAAATCAAACTGTCCACTTAGGAAGCAACACTGAGTGACAATCAATTTCACATGCTGTTGTGCAAATAGGATAGACAACAGGTGGAAATAATAGGCAATTAGCAAGACACCCCCAATAAAGGAGTGGTTCTGCAGGTGGTGACCACAGACCACTTCTCAGTTCCTATGCTTCCTGGCTGATGTTTTGGTCACTTTTGAATGCTGGCGGTGCTTTCACTCTAGTGGTAGCATTAGACGCGTCTATAACCCACACAAGTGGCTCAGGTAGTGCAGCTCATCCAGGATGGCACATCAATGTGAGCTGTGGCAAGAAGGTTTGCTGTGTCTGTTAGTGTAGTGTCCAGAGCATGGAGGCGCTACCAGGAGACAGGCCAGTACATCAGGAGATGTGGAGGAGGCCGTAGGAGGGCAACAACTCAGCAGCAGGACCGCTATCTCCGCCTTCGTGCAAGGAGGAACAGGAGGAGCCCTGCTAAATGACCTCCAGCAGGCCACAAATGTGCATGTGTCTGCTCAAATGGTCAGAAACCAACTTCATGAGGGTGGTATGAGGGCCCGACGTCCACAGGTGGGGGTTGTGCTTACAGCCCAACACCGTGCAGGACGTTTGGCATTTGCCAGAGAGCACCAAGATTGGCAAATTCGCCACTGGCACCTTGTGCTCTTCACAGATGAAAGCAGGTTCACACTGAGCACATGTGACAGACATGACAGAGTCTGGAGACGCCGTGGAGAACGTTCTGCTGCCTGCAACATCCTCCAGCATGACCAGTTTGGAATTGGGTCAGTAATGGTGTGGGGTGGCATTTCTCTGGGGGGCCACACAGCCCTCCATGTTCTCGCCAGAGGTAGCCTGACTGCCATTAGGTACCGAGATGAGATCCTCAGACCCCTTGTGAGACCATATGCTGGTGCAGTTGACCCTGGGTTCCTCCTAATGCAAGACAATGCTAGACCTCATGTGGCTGGAGTGTGTCAGCAGTTCCTGCAAGACGAAGGCATTGATGCTATGGACTGGCCCTCCCGTTCCTCAGGCCAGAATTGAGCACATCTGGGACATCATGTCTCGCTCCATCCACCAATGTCACATTGCACCACAGACTGTCCAGGAGTTGGCAGATGCTTTAGTCCAGGTCTGGGAGGAGATCCCTCAGGAGACCATCTGCCACCTCATCAGGAGCATGCACAGGCATTGTAGGGAGGTCATACAGGCACATGGAGGCCACGCACATTACTGAGCCTCATTTTTACTTGTTTTAAGGACATTACATCAAAATTGGATCAGCCTGTAGTGTGTTTTTCCACTTTCATTTTGAGTGTGACTCCAAATCCAGACCTCCATGGGTTGAAAAATTTGATTTCCATTTTTTAATTTTTGTGTGATTTTGTTGTCAGCACATTCAACTACGTAAAGAACAAAGTATTTCAGAAGAATATTTAATTCATTCAGATCTAGGATGCGTTATTTTTGTGTTCCCTTTATTTTTTTGAGCAGTGTACATGTCTCAGGCACATAAGCAAGTTACTGCTTTAATGCCACATAATAAAGATAGGTACTATCTGAGATGCAATATTTTTTTTTCTTAGCACTTCCATATAGTACCCTAGAAATAATAGGCATAGCTCAATATTGCATTTGGTTTCATTGATCCACTAAAAGAAAAAAAATAGACTTGAACATTCCTTTCACAGGTAATGGAAGACAACAATGCATAGGAAACACGCGAGGCTACAGTTGTGGAATTAAATATCAACCAAAGCCAACAGTTAAATGCATGAATTAAATAGCACTATTATTCCGTCTAATTGTATTTCTCAATGGAAGAAATTGTAAAAAGAGTTTAGGCAAGAAAGGTAGTTGTAAATAGTAATCTAGAGTAATGAGAAGATTAAATAGTCAAGCCCAACAATTTTAAAAGAATGCTGAAAGAAGCAGAAAATGAATTAAGATGATAACAAAAAAAACAAGACTGATAAATCATTTAATTAGGAATCTATTAATCAGCAGGAGAATTTCTGTGATCTCTTGCCCATATCATCTCTAGGTATCTATCCTGTCCCTATTGGTTACCTTAATTACAATGTATCATTGTATGACTCAATTTTTTTTTCTCTCTCTTGTAACCCCTTATGTTCTTCTATCTTTCTCTTCCATTTCACTCACTGTCATCCATTTTCCCAAGTCTCTCATGGACCACATTAATATTTTATACAATCACTCACATACATTCCATTAGAAGGCAGGGAGTCTCACAGAGTGTACAAGCTAATGGAATAAACATGTCTTACAAAAAAAACATTGAGTAATATAATGCATGACTACACAATTTGAGGTGGCATAATTTATATATTATAACAGCTTATGTATTTGACTGCCAGCAATGCTGCATTTCGATGATTTTTTAGTCTTATCACTTTGTAAGCACTGCAAGCAGTGTCCATCCTCGTCACGCAATGTTAGCTGTGTGTGTTTGTATTATACTTTATGTATGCACTTTCTGGTGCACATATATAATTATTGTACAGTGTCTGTTGTATATGTAGATGTATTATTAGTACCAAAAGCTTGAAAATGAAGTGTCTGGTGAGGTTTAAGAATGCCATATGCACAAAATTATTTTATGTACTGTGAGAATGCTAGTGTTGTGATCTTGTTCATCTTAAATTTGACTTAAAGGCTTTTTTACCTTGCCATCCAACTTCCCGTACTGGTAGTTACCCATGGGTGGTCTGTACTGCCAAGTGACTGGGCATTAAATACCCCAAATTTAAAGGGACACTATAGACACTAGAACAAATTCAGCTTGATGTAGTTGATCTGGTGTCTATAGCCGGTCCCTGCAAGCTTTTTAACCCCTAAAAGCCATTGCAGCATATTATACAGTCCTAAAAAAGGGTGACTTTGCCACTGTAACATTGTAGAATATTGCATATTCTATGTTTCTATTGATTATATATATGGATGTGTGGATTGACATAAGTAACAGATGGTATCAAAAAGTCACAAGGCTTTCTTTGTCCGAGAGCTCTGGAATGTGGATGTGGGGGTTTTGTCCTTATATGGCTAGAGTTAAATGCTGACGTTAGTATTAGCACATCTTTATAGTAACAGAGGGACACGAGGTCGCACTCGGTCTTGGCTCTTGGCTCTGTACAACGATGTAACTCTCCCATCAGAAGTACAGCAATTACCATCTGCTGTTGAATGTCCATTATCCTGTAACATCATTTGTTGTTTTATTATGTTTTATTATGTATCCGTAACTAAGAATAAACCTGAAGAAACCGTAAGTCAGATTGCGTATTAGTACTTTTCAATAATATAGACATATATTATTGTGGCAAGCATTTGGCCCAAGACTATAAATACAAAAGACGTATATATATCAATCACCTAAAGACAAGAAGAAATTAAGAAGATTTAACAGTGACGATCGCGTTCCATCTAGATTTTACATTGGCCAGCCAGCCAGTGTTCTATTCAAGTTTTGTTCCCACTTCAAGGGGGGAGAGAGAAGAATCGAGTTACAAAGCTATTTTGGAACTGGGAAAACAAACTTGAAGAGAAAAAAAGAAACTAGACTGTCATAGAAGAACTGTGGTTTGTAAGAAAAATAAAGTTTTCAAATCACAAAGACTGTACAAGACTATTTTCTACAACTGAAACAAAAAGCATAAGATACAACGTGAATTCTAGAAGCAAGCACGTGGCAGAGATTGGCAATCATCCAGAATCAAGCCCAGAACTGCGCAGCTGTGTGGATGAAGCAACTAAATAGACAGAGATAACTGATCTGGTGAGTAACATGGAATTCATAAATGATATTGCAGAGAAAAGTAAATTGCAGTTTGCATTTAATAGCAGCTATTCAGATGCTGTATTGTGGCAATCTTTATACACACAACGTGAAATTGCCAATAGTGAAATTGACCAGAAATTGTTTGTTAATAAGAAAAAACAAAAGATCAGAAATGTTATGAAACTAGTCTGTACTTACAATGCATTGATTTGTAAACGAGATGCAGGTCAAGACAATTTAGAGTCAGCAGATAAAGAAGTAGATTTGTATGGGTTAACAGAAGACAAATCAGATTTAAATGAACAAAGTAACAGAGAGCACATGCGGTAATTGTGAGAGATTGTCAGAAACAGTCTGTGAGCTAGAGGATAGAGTTGTACTAAGAAATTATCTTTTTTGCCAGCTTAGAAATGAAGTAAAGCACGTGTGTTAATACAAGAAAAATACAAGCACAGAATTTAATCCCAGAACCAATAGATACTGAAAATGTATCCTCACAGAGTGATTTGCAGAAATGTAAATTTCAAGACAGAGCTGCAAAACATAATTTGAAAATCCATGAACAAATAATGAAAATTGTGAAATGTGTTCCAGTTTATGACACGTCAGTGGATGCATTTACTAATCCTGAAATGTTTGAGTCAAATTTGGACAAATATAGCCTTAATGATGAACAAAGGAATAGACTATTTAAAATATGGCTGCCAACTCAAATGGCAAGTAGGCTGACCACACCTGTAAAATGTGAGGACAATGATAAAACAATATATGGAAATAGGCAAGACAGATTAACACAATTAATAAAATTAACAACAGGGAATCATTTTGCAGATATTGAAATGTTGGAAAAACTAAAACCCCACATTGAAGGGGATATTTTTAGTTTTCTTGTAAAATTTGAAAATGCATATAGACTTGTGGCTGATTTTCCTGAGGATCGGTTAATTAATGAATTTGTGAAAAAATTTCAAGATCTAGATCCAACTGCAATTGTAATTGATAGAGAAAAAAAGCACTTTGAATGACGTTGCTTTATTCTTAGATAACTTAAGGAGAGAAATCAGAAATGAAACCAATAATGAAGGGGTTAAAATGACTTGTGGAATTAGGCAGAGAAAGAAGTGCAGATTTGACACCCCTCGTCCCCCTTCTCCTTTTTCTAGGACTCAGTGTAAATGAGTGATACAGACAGCTGAGCCCCTCCCAATTTTTTGTACTAGAAACTGCACAGTTAATCAAAGGCACAATATAACTCCTAAAGTTATTTGTTTTTGGTGCAATAAACAACATTATTTAAGATCGTGCAGATATTTTATCCGAGATATCAAATCAGAAGTACAGCAATTACCATCTGCTGTTGAATGTCCATTATCCTGTAAATTCATTTGTTGTTTTATTATGTTTTATGTATCCGTAACTAAGAATAAACCTGAAGAAACTGTAAGTCAGATTGCGTATTAGTACTTTTCAATAATATAGACATATATTATTGTGGCGAGCATTTGGCCCAAGACTATATATACAAAAGACGAATATATATCAATCAACTGAAGACAAGACGAAATTAAGAAGATTTAACAGTGACGATCGCATTCCATCTAGATTTTACAAACATTCTGCAGCCACCAACCCAGCAGTCAATCTGGGTCTTCCGGGCTATGTAATCGCAATGGCATTGTGATCGCATGACCGGATCAACAATGAGCAGCACTGCCTGCAGGGGGATTTATTATTCCCACAGTACATATAGGACTCTATCTATCTATCTATCTATCTATATCCATAGCAGCAAAGCAATTGTTTAGCTCCTTCCATTCCCAAACAGACAGGAGCCTAACTAAAATATACGTATAAGTACCCCCTCCTAACCTACTAGCCCTCAGTTTCTGACAATGCCGTTCTGACACATCAAAATTCGTTGTGCCTCCTTGCTCCCTGTCATTTTTCTGTACATTATGGGTAGCACATTTTTGTTTAATTTTTTTTTTTTTTTTTTAATATACTTTCAGTCTTGGAGCTAGTGGTCAGAGACGTACCTAGGGTTTCTAGCGCCCTTGGCGAGGAGCTCTACCTGCACCCCCCCCCCCCCCAATCATGAAAAAGTAAAAATTTCCTCCCTGTCCAATAAAAAAAACAAAAATGAATAAAAATGAATTGAAAGTTCCTGAAGTTTTCCTGCCAGTCACCCAAAGCCTTTCACACTATATAAAAACCACTGCAAAGAGAACTCCTACAAACCCTCCCATCTGCTAGTGCACATGAAATGGCAAACTCTGTATACAATGCTTTCCCAATAATGCCAATGATAATATGTGTTATCAGCCTCAAATAATAAATATATATTTACACATATTTATCCTTGTGTGATGATGGTGAAGTGCCAGAGGAATGCTGGTCATATTGCAAGCATAGTACAGGCACATCACACCTTATCACAAGCATAACAAACGCCAGCACACCTTATTGCAAACACAATATACCTTTTTACAAGCCTAACACAGGGACATCACACCATATCAGTGCCAGACTGGGGATAAAAAACAGCCCTTTAAATAATTTTATACCAGATACCAGACCAATAGCATTGTGTCGTTTATACTGTTCACAAAAGGGAAAACCATGCATTTTAAAGCACATTTGAAGAGTGTATTATTTATAGATAATACTCATATATACCCCTGCAGAGAGCAATATATATCCTTAGTAGATACACAAAGTTATATCTCACACACTACCCTAATATAAAACCATACACAGGGCAATATATAGGCCCTAGTATGTACACAGATTTATATAAATTGTCCTGTGCAAGGGGAATATATCAGGACAGTGTGTGAGACATGTCCATGTGTATATGCTGGGGGCATATACTGACTTACTCCAGCATGCAGGTTGTACTCACAAGACTTACTCTAGCACCCAGGATTTACCCCAGCACAGAGATTGCACTTACACAGGGCTGGCGCTACCTGTAAGGCGACCTAGGCAGCCGACTAGGGCGCAACTTAGGACCACGAAAGGGGAGTGAGGACCACTGAGGGGGGGAGGGGGTAGTGAGAAGACCACCAAGGGGGGACTGCAGAGGAACAGGGGGCCAAGGGAGAGCACTAAGGGACAGAAAGGGAGAACACTGAGGGACAGGAGGGAAGGGGAAATCCCTAATTGACAGAAGGGCACTATGAAATTTTTTTTTTTTTTTTAAGTAAAGAGCTGCTCCCCTCTCAGTCCCTATCCTACCCCACAAACCCTCTCTTTTACACTACACACATACACAATTCATTTCCCCCCCCCACACACACACACAGAAACATACAATGCATCCTTACTCACACACAGACACACCTGAAACACACAATGCATCCCTTACGCTCACACAAACACTCATTCTCTTACACACAGAAACAAAATGCATCTCTTACCCACTCAATGCACCCCTTACAGACACACACTGCATTCAATTACATACACAGAAACACACCTTGCATCCCTTACACACACACACACACACCCAGAAACATACAATGCATTCCGTACACGCAAACACACACTGCATCCACTATACACATACTACATCCCTTACACAAATTGGTATCCTTATACCCTACATTCTATAAGAACACACACACACACACACACACATTACATCCTCTACAATAACACATAAAACATCCACTACACACATACACTCCATTACCTGTGAGAGAACTCATGGGTGGGCCATGTAGGTGGATTAATGTGTGCGCATTGTAGGCATACTCACAGTCGAGCCCTGGGGGCCCAGACCTTGAGCTGTGTAAGGGGCCCCAAAAAATGGCGCTGCTTCCAGTTCATTAATTGTTGTGAGCACTGTTACAATAAGTCTCCAGAGAGCCTCTTCTACACCAGACCTGTGGAGCCAGAGTGAGCCCATCATCAGCCTCTTGTCCTCATCCGGTGGTAAGTAGGCAATCCAATATATTATTAGTGGCACTAATCTCAAATTTACCTCACATTAAATGGATACTATAGTCACCAGAAGCACTACAGCTTAATGTAGTGGTTCTGGTGTCTATAGCCTGTGCCTGTAGGCTTTTTAATGTAAACACACTGCCTTTTCAGATAAAAGACACTTTGTGCAGACTGACGTTGGCCCATATGGCAGAGCATATGGGCGGGGCATTGTGATGTCACATGGTGGGCAGGACATATGGGGGGGTGGCAAATTTTGTTTTGCCTAGGGCGGCAAAAATCCTTGCACCGGCCCTGCACTCACAACACTTTCCCCAGCATGGAGATTGCACTCACATGACTTGTCCTAGCACCCATGACTTACGCACCCCAGCACTGAGATTGCACTCACAGTAGCTGCCCCAACACCCAGGACTTGCCCCAGCACCCAGATTGCACACCCAGGACCCATCCCAGCATGGAAATTGCACTCACAGGACTCACCCCAGCATTTAGATTGCATTCACAGGACCTGGACCCAGCACCCAGGACTTAACCCAACACTGAGATTGCACTCATGGACTTGCCACACTTAGATTGCACTCACAGGATTTGCCCTAGGACTTCATACAGCATAAAAGATGCCGGATATGAGATTTCCAGCGGCAACAAAGGCAACATCAAATTGGCTAAGGGAGTACTCTCTCACACTCTTGTGGCCGCATTTCACAGCAGTCCTAGGGCAGTCTGACCCTGCACCATATTACAAACAGGAGTCTTTACTAGGGTCACTACATTTCTTTTCATAACTAACAAATATCTTGGTTGTGACCATTGACTTCTGACTGTCTGAGTGTAGTGGAGGCTGCGTGTGATATATTGCGGTGTCTGGGCGTGAAAACGGCTGGAGAATGAAGACGGATGCTTATACTCCTGTAAGAGGTGAGTACCATGGCGGACATCTATGGTTACCAGAGAAGGCACCCTGACAGTACCCCCCTTCCAGAATTGCCTACCGGGCAGAAGGACCCTGGACAAGACGGAAAACGGGAATGGAAAGAACGGAGAAAACGAGGAGCATGGATATTGGAACACCCTCACTAACAAGATGATGCTGGAATCTGGGGGAGACCTCCAAGATACCAGTGACATCACACCCGGTAGGAAGAGCAATAAATAAACCACTTAACACCTAACCAATTATTGATGTATTATTTCATGTTATCTCTGACAAAGCATATGATGCAATTTTGCTCTATAAGGGGCAGGCCGTGCCCTTAGAATAAGCATTCCTCAAGTTTTTCATTAACCCGAAACCTGTGTCTTGTGTGAATTACTTTAGGAGCGTGCACGCACTACTGCTTTAATTTGGCCGGGGGCAGATACACAAGATAATCAATTAATTGATTGATTCCACATCATTGCACATACATACATACATACTTACACAGCTATTCATGCACATTAACACACAGATGCATATAAATACACCGACACATACACACAAATTCATATAGACACCAACACACACACACACACACACACAAACATTGATACATGCCCACACCATGACACAGATACACACTGACATAAAAAACACACACCCTTACACACAGATGCACATACACAGATGTGCACGCACACAGACACAGAAACACACTGACATATATATATATATATATATATATACATATATATATATATATATATATATATATATATATACACACACACATATACAGGGGCGTATTAGCCGCGAGGCAAACAAGGCATTTGCGGCTAACAGACATTCTGGGCGCTGGGCGGCAGTGGCTGCAGCGCTGGGCGGGCGGGCGGCCGGCGAGGGAGCTCTTCCCCTGAGCGCTCTGCTCAGCTCCCTCGCGCGCCGCCAGCAGAGTGAGGCTGGGAGCCGGGTTGATGACGTCATATTCCGGCTCCCAGCCTCACTCTGCTGGCGGCGCGCGAGGGAGCTGAGCAGAGCAGAGCGCTCAGGGGAAGAGCTCCCTCGGCGGCCGCCCGCCCGCCCGCCCAGCGCTGCAGCCACTGGACCCCAGGGAGAGGAAGAACCCCCCCCCAGCATTACCAAAGGTAAGGAGGCTGGGGGGGTTAAATAAAAAAAACAAAAAAAAAACACTAGTGTGTGTGTGGAAGTCTGTTAGTGTGTATGTTAGTGTGTGTATGTATGTTAGTGTGTGTATGTATGTTAGTGTGTGTATGTATGTTAGTGTTAGTGTGTGTATGTATGTTAGTGTTAGTGTGTGTATTTATGTTAGTGTGTGTGTGTATGTTAGTGTGTGTATGTTAGTGTGTGTGTGTATGTTAGTGTGTCTGTTAGTGTGTCTGTTAGT